GACGATCCAGGAGGAGGGATGATAGTCCTGACCACGGCGCTAGTGCTGCCGGTCAAGGAAGTAGCAATAGCGCAGCGGGCGCAGGACCTATTGAAGCGCCTGCTAGACCGTGATTCCCTCCTCTTTCTCACATGAACAAGCAGACAAGCAAGCAAACAAACAAATCACCTCCCCAGTTTCCCCCAAGGCGTTTATTACGGAGTCAACCGCAATCGGCGTATTCCCAGTTGTTTTCTTGGCTTTTCACGGCAATCGGTGTACGTATGGATATGGAGGGAAGTCTGTGGGGTTTGACATTGCGAGATACCAATACTACAATTTATGGATTTTCTTTTCTTTTTCTTCTTTCTTTTCCTATTTTTCGCGCCGTTGCGTTTCGTCTTGTTTCACGAGGAAAGTGCAGGCGGAGGGGGGCTACGTATGATGATGATGATGATTTCATGGATCATGCATCTCCTGGGCCGCAGTGGACTTGTGCACTCACACCATGCACTATGCATCAAGGGCCAATGTCGTGCGCGATGCCATTGTGCAGGTATGGAAAACATGTACATTGTAGTCATCTAGCTACGACGCAAATGGAAAGTAACAAATCCAAGGATATATATGGCTTGCTACTTTCATCTAGGGCTTCTCTGTAGGGTGTGAGAGGATGGGATGGATTTGCATGGTTCTGTATCCAGTAGTCAGTCTTGAGATGTCTGTTTAGGGCAGCACTGTTGGAGGATGAAGACTTGAAAGAGAGAGAGGGGGGGGAGAGAAGGGATGAAATATATGCCTGCCTGCTTGGTGTCCTGTCTAGGTGTAGTGGCAGTACCAAGAGATTATAAACATCACACATCCCCTCGACTCGACACAAGGACAAATTAGTACTAGTTTTGCATGTACAAGATGGCATTACAATCGAGTAATGTAGATAAAGTAGAACCAAGTGCCCGATTCTCGCATATACGCCGATACAAAGCAGGAGCAGCAGCAGCAGCAACAACAACGACAACAACAGTCCAAAGGAAATAAGAACCATGATATTCCCCGGGTGTCGTTGCAGGCCAATATCATCCATCCCAGTGGACATCATCTCCATCCACCTCCAACCGCACGCGGTCTTCGCGTCCTGAGTCTTCAGAGGGAATCCAAGGCGCAAAACCCTGGTCAAAGGATAGTCGACGATCTCACACCGCCTCTTTCTCTTCTCCGCTGCACAACAGTCTGGTTTTAACAGCACTTTCCGCCCATGCCCGCGTTGTCACCACCCTGGCCCCCAACATCCACCTTGGCAGCTTGCGGCTGGTCCGTCCTCGCGGTATCAATCAGCCTCTTCTTGATATCGGAAGCGAGCGAGTAGAAGGCCTTGTCGACGTTGATGTTGCTCTTAGCTGAGACCTCGAGGAATGGAATGCCCAGTTCGTCGGCGAGCGCTTGGCCTTGCTCTGTGGAAACGGCACGCTTCTCTTCCCAGTCGCACTTGTTTCCGATGAGGATCTTGTTGACGCCTTCGGTTGCGTGTTGTTCGACGTTGGAGAACCATGTGCGGATGTCTAGTTGGGTCTCGAATTAGCCTTCATCTCCTCCACTGTGCAGCCACACCGACTTTCCCACGCACGCACACACAGTGTGTCGCTCCGCGATTGCAGCGACAAGGGAAAAACAAGACAACGTACTTTCAAAGCTCCTCTGATCCGTGACATCGTACACCAGCAAGATGCCCATAGCCCCTCTGTAGTACGCGGTTGTGATGGTGCGAAAGCGTTCTTGGCCTGCAGTGTCCCATATCTGCAGCTTCACGCGCTTGCCGTCGAGCTCGATGGTCCGGATCTTGAAGTCGATGCCAATGGTCGTGATGAACGAGGGCGTGAATGAGTCTTCGCTGAAGCGCAGCAGGCAGCACGATTTGCCAACACCTGAGTCTCCTATGAGGAGCAGCTTGATCTATGCGAGGGGAGGGTCAGGTATTAGCGCATGGGAGCGTTAAAGAGGGAGAGGAAGAGAGAGAGGGAGGGAGGAGTGAGTGCATGAACGAGCAATAGAGAGAGGGATGGCGGTGGAAGAGAGGGAGGGGTAGTCTGCGTGGTACTGGGAGCAGTGCGAGTACTGGCCGCGCAACTGGGGGCAGCCGCAAGGGACAGACTTACAAGAAAGTCATAATTCCTGGAGCCGGCCATGGTGTTGATGTGCCGGGGGGGGGGGGGAGGGGATGGGTATCGTTGGCTTGGTCGAGGATGTGGAACTGCGGCGGAGGTTCACCCACCAGACGAAGGTAGTATGCTATGTGCGTTGGGGGGAGGGCCGAGGGTTGGACGTGGCAGCAAGCGTTGCGCAATCGGAAAAGGCAGGCAGCTATTGTTGTTGTTGTTGTTGTTGTATTGGTGGTGGTTTGTGCGAGCGAGGTCAGATGGTGATGGTGTATAGTTGATAGTTGTTGGGGCCAGGCAGGACAATCAATCACACGGCTTGGGGAAGCGTCACTGCAGTTGCCAGGTACTTGGGTACTTACCTACGTTGACGTTGGGGCTCGGCCGCCAAGAACCACCGCGCGCGCAACCTCGTCACCGTTGCCGCCACTACCTACCGGTAACACAGGTACACACACTTTGTCCACGGGATGGATAGGGTTCCAATGAGCCCTTGCAAGTCTATTCCCGGTGGCGACGACGACCTCACATTCTGTATCTGTGCTCAGTTGGATCAGTTGGGGGGATACTACAGCATCATAATGACACCCACAGTATCTTGGAACAGCACCTTTTACTCCTGCGGCTATCAGGTAGCCAGCCAGTAGAATCGCCATGTCTATTGCTATTGTCTCATTGCATGCTTCAGGCTCGGCTTATAGAGCTCCTGGCATGATTCATAAAAGAGGCTGCTGGCTTACACGTGCTTGGGTTTCATGTAAACCACTTCGAGTACGCCCACCTAATGCGCTCCACCACCTTCTGCTGCCTCACCAGCCCGCTCCTCACGTCAACCAACTCGTCAATCTCCACCAGGAAGTCATGGAATATGCGTCTTGGCAAACTGCCACTGGCAGCCTGGCGAAGGAGATGAACTTCACAAAGAAGCAGCCCGTGGTCCTTGTACGACATCTCCCCAAACTCATTAGGCGTCGCACTGGTGAGAATGCGGTCGATGTTGCGCAGTATGAGCAGCATGCGTCCCTGCCGTGCCCACTGCTTCACACCCTTGCGGTTGGTCACGACACCTCCAAGCCATCTGTATACGCCGATGCTGACCAAAACACCAGGCGTCAGTCCAATGAAGCCAAACAACAGTTCCTGGCTTTTGAGAATGCTGTCGATGCCAGCCATTGCGACTTCGACGTCTACCTTGGTCTTCTGAACCTGGATCAGCAGCGCGCTGGCCAGGTTGCCAACAATGGCTCCTTTGATCGGGCTCTGGATGTCTATTTCGTACGACCTAAGGACCGGAGTAAGATCGCCCTCTCGGACCTTTGCCCTGATATCAGCGATTTGGGAGTCATTCAGCACGGGGCCATCGGGATTCTTGACCGCAAAGTCGACTACCATACGTTCCAGACTCGCACGATCCGTCTCAAGACTTCGCTTGCTCATGATGGAGACCTCACTATCAGCATCATGCCGGATGGTACCAATCACCCTCTTGGTTGGCTCAACTACCCAGTTTGCCCAGAAGTCGATTATGGTTTGGCCTAGTTCACGCACCCAAGTGAGGATTTCTTCCTTGCGATTTACGAATATACGGAGGATGGTAGTTGAAGATACGAGGAGAACAGTTGCTGGAAGCCAGTACCGGACGAGGCGAGATGGGCGACCATTTTCCTTGGCCACAGCCTCAAAATTCGACATGTAAGTGGGTAAAGCTTGCTGGAGAAGGTACTCAAGACGTTTTGCCACATCGGCTGGTTTCAAGGAAGTTGCGGTCCGTTCGCCCGAGGGTTCGTGAAGCATGTAGTATGTGTCGTCCTGTGTAATGCTGGCTACTGTTTCGTCGAACTTATCGACAGAGAGCTCTGCCGTCTCAACACTCTGAATTACGGCATCCATCAATGCAATACTTTTGGACATGACACTCTTCCACCGATGTTTGTGATCTTGTGTGCTAAGCAGCCCAGGAGAACGCGTGCCGTCATCGTTAACACTAGACTTGATTAGCCACTTGGTTCCTTGCGGGGACTGACCATGCTCACCTCTCATTACCTAGTCCTTCACCAAGTAGTACACCCAGCGCATTCGCATTGACCATCCGGATCTTCCTAAGCACAGCACGTTTCCGCCTCGCCTCGTTCCGCACAAGTGCCAACGGACTCACCACCCGTCGCTGGATATCCGCAACACTCCGCTCTTGCACCGCAGTCTTGACCAAGCCATAAAACTGGCTCCAACCATCTGCAAACTGCCCACCTCTTGACCGTACATCGTGGTATATTTCCTTTGTCCAGGCCCACATACGAATCGGCGACGTTTGTATCGAGTACAGGCCTGCGAAATGATATGTTGAGAGAATATCGTCCCAATACCACAGCTCATCTTCCAAGGGAATGGTCTGTTCCAAGATTGTATTCAGCACCTGTCCATAGGCCTGTGTGGTGGCTTTGCTCAACAGCAGCCACTCTAGCTCATGTTCATAGCTGGCGTCCGGACGGGCATCCTCATAATCACTACTGTCCTCTTCATTTTTTGCAAACCACTGGTTGCATGTTGCACAGTTGTTGGATATATCAGCCCGCTTGAGCGTTTCCAGGATCCTATCCGCAGGCACAAGACTCGACTTGGAGGATGTCGTCGTGGAAAGGGATTTGATCAACGTCTGCAGGTGGGTGATACGCGCTGATCTCGTAGGGTCATGGGCTTCCTCTGCCGTGAGTGTAGTAAAATTCCCGCCGGCTTGTGTGGTCGACAATTGCAGCCGATCTAGCTGCCCGTCGAGTCGGCGGATTTGGCTGGTGCTTGTTAGGAGGGCGGCCACAAAGCAGCATCACACGTGCAGTTGCACAGTATGTCTGCATGAAGAGATGACTTACTCTACCACGAACGACATGGTGCCGCCGTATTGTGGCTTGCGTAGAAGGTCCACCGAGAATCCGAGATGCTTGGATGTAAAAGTGATCGACGCGACCTTCCCGCTCGGAACATGACGTCGGCTGGGTGAGGGTCTTCCCGCCCAAGGCCCCGCAACCATCGTGAGGCGGGGAATCCCAGGCGGTGCGGCTACCTAAACAGTTTCATCTCAATACTTCACTCGGGTCTCCATGTCTCGTCCACACCATAATGCCTGATAGATACATGTAGCAACTACACATACTTCATTAGTTTGGATTGCATCATCAGTTTTTATTTTGTTGCAGTCGCTTGCGAGTCGCATTGGGGCATTCCACAGTCAAAGGAAGGTGTCGCCCGCAATGCATAAACCGATAGATCTTCACAATGCTTGAAACCTCCGTTCCATGGCATAAGGATACGATGGTGCCTACATGCTGATACTTTCGGATTCAACGCAAAGATTTAAGGTGCTTATCAAGTATCTAGCCGGCTGAACAAGTATCCCCGGCCACATTAACAAATCACAAATCACTGTGGGACAAAGATTTTGAACAAACTTTCTTTGTCATAAATTGTCCGCATACACGGCAATGAAACTAAGAACTACACAGAAACCGACTGCTATGGGGAATTATCTTCTGCCGCAACAAACAATTATCAAGACAGAAAAAAGAGCGATTGTGGTTATACTACAAGATTATGCGTCGAGAGCATTTACAGAGCGAAGAGCGCAAGCGCCGCACCAATAAGAGCGTGGGCGGGAACAACCTTGAAAGGCGCAGCTGCACCAGTAAACTCAGGTGGTGAGGACGGACGGGCAGCTCCAGTACCAGTGGCCAGAGGAGTAGTCTGGGTGCCAAAAGTAGAGGCAATGGGGTAAGGAGCACCGTTGGAGGCAGTGGTAACAGCAGGAGTCTGCGGAGGAGTGTTACCGGGAACCAGACCGACAGGTTGAGTGGGGACAGCACCACCGACATTGGGCTCAGTAGTGAAGTGGACTTGGGGGACAGTGACGACGGTAGAGCCGTGAGTGACAGTAGTAACGGGAACCTCGGGAACCTGAGGCTGAGGAGGCTGAGGAGCAGGAGTCTCGCCGGCAGGAACATTTGCGCTGGTGGTGCTAGCAACTCCTCCAGTAGGGGGAGCAGGGTTCAAAGGAATGTAGGGAGGGCAGTCCTCAATGATCTTGGGGTTCTCTGGGATGTGCTCCGCGCAGATACCAACAAGGTATTGCAGCGACTTCTGGGTCTCCTCATCAGTGCCGCACCAGGCTGTGACACAGTCGATGACGTTCTTGGTGAACTCAGGGTTCTTGCAGTAGCAAGCCTTGTCAGCGTTGTTCTTGCACTTGCTATCGATCTGGAGCCAGGTGTTCATGCACTTGGGAAGAACATCAGGAGGAGAGACCGGAGGAGAGCTGGGGCTGGAAGGCTTAGGAGCGGGAGAACCGGGGCTCGAAGGCTTAGGAGATCCAGAGCTGGGGACGCCGGCGGCTGGAGGGGTAGGACCAACGACGGGAGTTCCCTCGCACGAACCTCCATAACCACCACAGCCACTCGCCGTAGCACCGCTGGAGGTAGCAGGAAGAGGAGTGGCAGCGCTGCTGGGGACACTGGGAGTGGTAGCAGGTGCCGAGCTGTTGGCGAAGAAAGAAGATGGAGTTGCGATAGGGCATGCTGGACCACCGTTCTGTCCACAAGCTGGGGTAGCGGGGGTCTCAGCAACAGGAGGAGTGGGTTTGTTGGCTGCGGAGGATGTGGATGCCTCAGGTGTAGAAGGTGGGCAGCCCTCACCCTGGCAGTTGCCTCCTGTTGGGTATGAAGGGGGTGTGGATTGAGCAGCGGAAGGTGTTGACGCCTCAGGTGTAGATGGTGGGCAGCCCTCACCCTGGCAGTTACCTCCTGTTGGAGGAGAGGGTGGGCTGGGCGGGGAAGGAGGCACGTATTTGGTGCCCTCGTCACAGTCGAAGCCAATGTGGTGGAGACCAATCTCGCAAGAAGACTGCTCACCTTTGTAATGACTGCCAAGGTAGATATCAACGGTCTTGGCGCCACCACACTGTGTGTTCTTCAGAGTTGTTCCACCTTGTGAGCAGCTGGAGTACTGTTTGCATGTACTACCATCCTCCATCTTGTAGTGCAGCTCCAAGTCAATGTCGAACTCAACAGACACGTCAATCTCTGTGACGGAGAAGCCCGACTTTCTCTGGTCGCAGGAGAAAGAAGCTGGCTTGTCCTTGGTGACAATGTTCTTGATCATCTTACTCCCGAAACTGCGACGGGTGAGCGCATCACGCTTGCCGAGAGAGGTGGTGCAGCTCCAACCTCCAGAGAAGTTGAAGTCGCCATAGGTGAAATCCTATCAAGACATTAGCATGAAGACGATATCACCAAGCAAATGAGCATCTCACCTTCTCACCCTCCTTAAGGTCAGTCCAACTAAACCCACCCTTCTGCTTATCGCTGCACTCGTTGTTGTTATACTTGGGAGTCTTCAGGAACGGGCTGGCGAACAGGTCCCAGGTTGCAGCGGCCTGCTGGGTTGCAAGACCAGTCACGAGGAGAGTGTATGTGGTCTTCATGTTCAAGACAATTAAGAGTAATAAAGACTGCTGGTCTTGGAACGAAAGATTAAATGTTGCTCAATAGAAGTAAAGTATAGAGCCCTGTGATAGGTGATAGTAACTGAGTTTGACTTTTGAGACAGACACAAGACAACAAAGAATAACGAATGTACTCTGTTGAACTTGCCAAGCGAAAGGATTAGGGAGAGGGTGAAGAAGAGCACACAGCGTGAGATTTAATCAGTCGAGTGGGACAAAGCAGTGAGATATATATCAACACAAGACTTCAGCACGGGCGTGAAACGAATCTATCGAAACATTGCATGTGGGGTCGTCGGCCATATCGAAAGACCAAAATACACAGCCTCGATATCCAGGGGGGAGGCTGTCCATGGTGCTGCTTTTGTCGCGCGACTAGGGTGGTGGGTTGTTCAAGACTTCATAGAGTCGAACGGTTGTGTAAGTGAGACCGAGGGGCGCTTCATGATGAAACGCTCTAAAAGAGGGTGACAGCGTTCATGCAGGTACTTACGAACCAATCGCTGAGCGAGTCGAGCTGCCGATTAGGCAATAGGCGTCAATTTGATATTTTTATGCCACTCAACTGGCCAGCCTTGATCGTTGCAATTGGGCAGCAGAGCCACGAGCTGATTTATTGTTGTCGACCTGTTACGGCGGGTGGTAGGTAGCTCAGTATTGCCAGCGGTAGCGGCAGTCGTCGGAGGCATTGTTGCCGCGCCCCGAGGTCTCACCTTGCCAAGTTCTAACCTCAGTTTTGTGGAGGTTCCCCTGCAGGCTTCAGGCCCTTTAGAATCCAGACCACCTCCTGATCGGGCCACTCCGTCACCTATTCTTTCTCGTTCCTGAATGCCAAGTCAAGGGGTTTGCCGTTTCGCCCAAACGACTAGCCAAAGGAGTAAGTTTCACGACTGTTGCGCTGTCACGCCTCTCAGCCGTGGTCGAGTGACAGGCCTGGGAACGGGCAATTCAGGGCACTGCGGGCTTGTCTCAAATGCTTGTGTACATAGCCTGAATACGAGAAGGAGGCTGACTCTGAGAACCGTTATGCGATGGTTGGAGCAGGTAGGTGGAATGCCGACCATCACATGCACCTCACGAGATGCTACACTCGCAATCCTCCATTATGCGCTACCAAGGAAGCGATGCCAATGCTTGTATAAGTCAACTGTCAGATAATCAGAAGAAAACGCGTCCAAATACCTAGCGAACCCGCTTATCGCACATGCCATGTCTCAGTGTAAAGTACCTATCGTACACGCTACTACTGTGTATACTACCGTATCTGTCCTGGTCCCTCATCACTTATCGAGCGAGCCGCTGCCCAGGCCTTCGCGGTGCTATTTCTGGAAGAGTGGAGAAGCGCGGAACTGGAGGATATATGTATCGAGTGAACTATTGGATCGACACTAGGAATCTGATCTCTGGCTCCCAATTGCGCTGTTTATCATGCTTGTCGAGTCGAAGGTTTATATACTCGCTCGGCCGATGAACTTGGTCCGACATTTGCACACGGCGCCTCCCACTGAGTCGAATGAGTACATAGTCAAGCGCATCGCAGTATGAATGAGTACATAGTAAAACGCATCACAGCAAATTCTTTTTGTGGGTTTTCAGACTAAACGTACATGGTACAGCTTACTGAATACACCCTTGACAATTTGTCACAACCTCTTCATGTTTGCTACCACGGCCTTATTGGCCAGGTAGCCTAGCACATCATCCCTGTCAGGTACACTTCGCAAATTGCATACTGTATGTAATGGGTCCTACGCTTTTAGTGATGGTACGCATTTACTTTTAGGTACCTGCATAACTCCTGGTTATTAATTAATGAATTCATGCAAAGTTGTCACATAATCGTGCCACTGCAAACATTTGAACATTCACGTGAGGGATATGTATCAGTCGGCGACATGTCGGGTATTACGGCATAACAACTCCAGACATGATGCTTTGATGTACAGCCAATTATATACCCAATAGGATAAGGATGCAAGTATACTGTGTAGCTTTGCCTCAACACGAGCAGCATCAAATGAGAAGTTTTTTTATATTGCCATGTTGCTGATGCGTTTTGATCAAGGCTGACCATTGCCAAATATGAACGCCTTCAATGCCGTATGATGCCCCAGAACGCCATATCCTAAAAAAAAGGTTCGTCATAAGGACGAAGTTGCAATTTGCAGAGCACTCTATCGCCGGTGCTATCTTCTCAAAGCCATTCAACACTGTTTGCAAACCTAACCGATCCAGCCCTGCCCGCGGTATACCTTGGTTCACTCTTCATCTTCGATGATGATATGTACAACCTCATCTTGGGGATCGTCTCGAGACAGGCGACACCCGGTCGCATTCCGTACTCGAGCATGGCATTGTCTTGCTGCGCGGCTCATAAACGGGATTTGGAGAGCCCCAAATATCGCAACTAGAGCGGATGCCCACCACGCCAAGGGAGTAAAATGTATGTCTATAGAAAGACCGTAGAGTAAGCCTGCAATGGGACTTGCTACTGTGCGACACGCAGCGCCTGTGGATGCGGCAAGGCCGTTGATTTTGCCGAGGTGAGACTTATCGGGCGCTGCCTCCTTTATCATGATGAGGAGTAACGGAAATGCAATGATGGAGGTAAGATTCCGAATGGTAAGGCATAAAAACAGGCTAGGATACAGTGCGTCGGTAGGGAGCAGCTGCAGGAAGGGTACGATGAAGTATGCAATCGGATGGGCCACAGTGACCAGCAACAAAAGCCTCCATACTCCAAGAAGGTCGGCCAGGACAGGGAAGACGATGCCTTGAATTGCAAGCTGAATAACTCCATTGATCGACAAGATGACACCGACATTCTGGATTGGTATTCCCAAGCCGCCACTTAGACCGGCAGATGAGAGTTCGTAAGCGTTCATATCACTGTCGGCCCGTTTGTCTTGAAGAAATATCGGCAGGAGATGATCGTAGGTCATCTAGATGTACGTGTAAGCATCAATAAAGTTCGGAAGGTGGCCTGCTTACAGAGTGATAAGTGAAAGTGCCCAGTGCAACCACGAAAATGACAACGTTCATGTTGAAGGGTTTACTCTTTGTAGGCGATTCGACCCAGTCTCCATTAGACTTCACGCGCCATTCCTCGTCATGATGTACCTCGACCGTATTGAACGTGCCGTATGATTCCGTAGCAATGTTTGTTGCTGCATCGGCGGTAGCGCCCTGGGTGGGAAGAAGTGGTGTCTGGGCGACAGCAGCATCGTACGTATCGAAATAGCCGCGAGGCCGCTTGTCTGGATGTGTTTCCTCGAGCAGGAAGTATGCCATCAAAATCGAGACTAGAAGCAGAGTCGAACAGAGGATGTTTGGTAATAGGTACGGAAACTTGCCAAACAGCCCTGTGTGACTAAACAAGGTCGGGAAATTTTCGGCCGGTTCAGCAAAGTACCCGCCGATAGACGCTGATAGATGTCAGCATTCGTCGATTACTATTTCCTTTAGCGTGGTAGAGAAGTCTTACGTCCTATGATGGTGCCAATACTCCACACTGTATAAGGTTAGTCGGGTTTGAATGGGTAAGACAATACTGATGGAAGACATACCAAAGGGCATTACTGAGTATGCCCTTGCTGCACACAGTTAGTGTCCATAGACGACCTATAAAATGGGGCCGTCACATCAACCTACGCTCGTGTTTAGGGTCTTTGACAATCTCGCCGACCATAGTCTGAATGACGCCGATGTTTCCATTGAGCGCACCGCCGATGATACGCCCAGCTAAGGCCATCCAGAAATTCGATGCAAAGCCTACGAGCAGCAGCGATGATAATGTGCCTAGACAACCGAGAATGACAATCGGCCTAGGTGATGAGATGAGGAGCGGTTCATCCACATGGGTAGCATTCACTCACTTGCGGCCTACACGATCAGACACTCCGCCCCAGTACATTCCGCTACAAGCCTCTGCGAGAGAAAATGCAGAGATGAGCAAGCCTGCGAAGAAGGGTGCATTGCTTTCCGAGCAGACCTCGAAGGTCGAGACGAGTTTCCACGCATATGGGAGTATGGAAGTCAAGGCGATAGGTTCGGCCACTCGTACAAGGGATAAGAAGAGTAGTTGAGCGGCTGGGAAATCGGTATTGGATGCATCTTGGGGTCTTGGTTCTGGTGAGAAGGACATCCTACAAGCTGACTTGTTTCTTACGAATTGCCACCATAGGACCCTTCGATGGGCTCAACAACGATGGTCTTGTACCGTGCTTGTGGCCTGTAGATTGCTTAAGGGAAGATGAGTCTAGCAAGCGAAAGAGCTGGAAACGGAAGCTGTACTCTACAGAAAACTAGGTGGCACGAGTGTGACGAAGGAATGTGAAAAAGAGGAGTGCGAGTAGGAGTGTGAGTCCAGCAGCTTTAGGCTGTCGAATTGCCAGCAAATAAGGGACCCAAGTTCGGGGCACGGATCAGTCGGCCGATACCCCGTGCCCATTTGTGCTCGGCAGCTTCTCGCTGTTACCCCACCATTCTCCCATACTCCAACGGGAACACAGTGCTCGTCGTCGTCTGAGGCTGCGTGAACGGGAAGCAAGAGTGGTACTCTACCTCGAGCCTTAGAGTTCTTCTCTCTCTCTCTCTCTCTCTCTCTCTCTTTTTCTCCGTGAGGCCGAATCGCTGTTTTCGGGAAAGTGTGGTGGGGAGTGGATTTCAAGCTTCCACCCACCCCACCCCTTGCTAGTTTCCATGTTCTCACGGCACCGCTCGGCACGCTAGACCCTTTACGGGGATGGGGCCAACTGGTTGCGATGCTGTGATGCAATGTGCGCGAACGTCAATCTACTCTTACTCCATGCTTCAGCCTTCCCTCTTCGTGCACATGGCACACTGCTGTGTTCTGTGCTTGTCCGTGTCCATCATCCACTACGCTAAGCGCAAAAGCTTCCAGTATGGCGTCGATCGTCCTGCAGAGTGCGGACTACTTGGGGTTGAGGAAGAAACTTGAAAGGCGGGCGCGCATGGACCCTGCATGATCATCCTCTCATGCCCGGCCCGGAGCGCTGCGCTGCAACCGGTAAGCTTACTCTCTGTACATGCCATGCAATTTTGGCGATATCCTCCACTCCGCCATGGGAATCCTGCAGATTGCTGTACACTTTCGTCGGCGATAACGTGAGCTTATATTATAGCCTCTGGCCGCTTGCAAGACGAATATAAAAGATCCATCTGTACCATTGGTATCTAGCAGTTCGAGTATTCGTCATTGCTCTGAGATATACCTACAGTCTGTTGTCCTGGAAATTATTGGATTTTGCACGAGGGGTGTGTAGTTGTATTTCAGACAGCCTCTGACAACTGCCTTCATCAATCTCTCGAAGAAGTTGAGCCCAAACCCACTTCTACTTGGTATGGCAGAGTGGAAGAGGCGAAGATACGCTAAAACTGTATTGGGTATAGTTCCCGTTCAAGAACCTGCTTGGCCTAGTACACCCTCCCTATCTCTAGACTCTAGAGTAGTGTAGCATCCTCTCATCTCTCCCCATGCCCTAGTACTACTAACATCAACTTCCATTGATGCATAACGAGACTGATATTGCAATTTGTTGCGCTGGTCGGCGTTCGTCATGTCATGAACTTCGTCTTCTCCGCCACAGGGGCCGCTCTAGCCACGCCAAGCAGGCCAACAACGGCAAAGAAGCCCTCGAGAGAATTTTTACCTGATAATATGTGGACCCTACGAAAACATATTACTCACAATGACCCATTTGCTTCATCAAGGAATGAAATCTTGACCCTCTTGAACGACACAGTATCAAAGGTTTCACCATAATAAACCCAAAATGCCAGCTATGGCCACGACTCCCCCGCATTACTTATGCACTCCACACCCCAAGTATGGAAAGGCATTAATCGAGGTGTAACCAATTCTGGAGGAATCCTCTCCATCTGAAATGCTGCGACACTTCAAAAGGCAAATCTTCAGGTGGGCACGGATACGCTAGCCGGAATTGCGCAGTGGATGGTGATCCGTGAGGACGCCGATAAAGGAGGTGAGGATATTTAAAAGGATCTGCCTTGCCACTAGTATGGCACTTCACATCTCAGCATTCCCAGCATCTCGAAAAACATTACAACAGCGTGCGCCTACCATCATGGGCCTAAAAAAATTCTTTAACAAGGATGGACTGAAGAGTTCCACCGACGCTTCTTCCTCCTCCTACCCTGGATCATCCAAAGAAGAGTTAGATGAGGAAGTTGGACACAACACCAATATACAGATAGGTTGGACTGGTGATGGACATGCCGGTGCCAATGAGTATCCAAACACCGAAGGAGAGAACTACCGCACAATGGGTCGATGGCGAGCTTGTGTCATCTTGATCACAATCGAGGTGGGTATTGGCGTTCTCAGTCTTCCATCAGCCCTACAAACGCTAGGCTTGATACCTGGAATCATCGCCATCATAGGATTCGGTATCCTCACGACATATTGTGGTTACATCCTGGTCCAATTCTACCGTCGCTACCCCATGGTCACCAACCTTGTGGATTGCGCACTTTACGTAGGAGGGAAACCGTTCGAGTACTTCCTTGGCATCGCTTTTGTATTCAATCTGGTGCTCATTTGTGCTTCGGCCAATATCACCATGTCGGTTGCGCTCAACACACTTTCAGGCCACGCCCTTTGCACAGTGGCCTTCATGGCATTCCCTCACATCGTATGTTGGATGCTATGTCTCCCACGCAAATTGACATTCGCAGCTGCATTCTCGTGGGTGTGTACAATCTCCATTGTAGCAGCTGTTCTCATTGTTATGGTCGCCCTCGGCGTAGCTGGACCACAAGCACCTCCTGGTTTCGATGCAGAAAGTACGTACAAGGTCTCCTCAATCGCTATAGCTATCACGTTCTATATTTGGAAGATGTCTCACATTTGGAGCTTAGGGGCAACTCTTTGTTGCTCAATGGATGCTTGATGTATTGCGCTGACAATTCCTTCAGTCATATTAGTGGGGAAACCGACCTTCGTTCAGACTGTCAATGCGCTCCTCAACATCGCCTTTGCCTTTGCTGGAAATCAGAGTTTCATTTCCGTCATGGCGGAGATGCGCAATCCCCAAAAGGATTTTGCACCAGCACTATTCATGCAGAAGTCTTTTGAGGTTGTCGTGTACATTGTTGTCGCATGTGTTATATACGCACTTGCAGGGGATGCGGTAACCTCACCCGCGCTTGGGTCTGCTCCTATTATACCAGCCAAGATTGCCTATGGGATCCTGATTCCCAGTGTGCTCGGTACCGGCCTTGTCATCGGAATTACAGCAATTAAGTATATGGTTCGTACCGGCCTTTCTCCATCAATAGCCGTAGGTGTGCTTATCATCTACCAGTACATCACCATCATGCGCAACGCAAAGCCAGAACCAAGTCAACGTTTCCAACACCTTCACGTGGACTCTGTGGATCGCTATTCGGTTCGTTGTTCTGGATTGTGTCTTTCATCGTATCCAATGCTATACCGATTTTCAGTTCCATTCTGAACATCAGCTCCGCAATCTTTATCAGTTGGTTTACCTTTGGACTGACCAGTGTCTTTTGGTTGCATCTGAACTGGAAATCACAATGGAGTACAGGCCGCAAGATCGTGCTAGCGTTGATCGACTATGCGATCTTGCTTATGACGGTCTTTCTTAACGTAGGTGGATTGTACACTGTAAGGCTCCCTCCATGCCCTTCGGTTGTTTGTAACTCGATGCTGACAAAACGTATAGTCGCTCAAAGCGCTGATTGATATTTTCAATGATCCTACTACGACGTTGAACGGGCCTTTTACATGTGGAGATAATAGCTTATTTTAATGCTGCAACGGTCGTCAATGTTGTTGGACTGTCTACGAAAATCGATCTGTTCTCACTCTCCGTACTGTCGTTTTTGACGATGTTGCCTAGACTTTGAGGGTTCTTCAAGAGTTCCCATGGACTGCTCATCAGCCGTCTATGCAATAGGTGAATGCTTGGATTGCTCCAGGTACCAGGCACTGCAGCACTTCGGATCGACCGGATCTATGGTGGAGGTATACCACGCGCCTACCACATCTGAATGGGTCACAGTCTGCTCTTAGAGACCGGCAAAGCTTCAGAGCTAAGCGAAGCTGGGGTGTCTACAAAGACATTCGCAGAATGGATAAATGCACGGCCTGAGAATGGCGACTGCCTACCGAATACCCGCTATCATAGATGTCGAGCTTTGGCACAGCCTGGTCCGGGAGCGTTACTCGATTTGTGAGGATCTTGTTCGGTAGTGCGCCGTGAAGCCGCCGTGTGAGCGGAAGCCTGTAGGCATGGTCAAATACGATGCCATCTGCGCGGCCAGAAGCAGGCATGGTTAGTGGGTCGGATGAAAATTCACCCTCGACCATGACGAAGACACGTCATGTGCCATGAATCGCTTGGAGAAAGAACCCCGTGGGGAACGAGGCAGGAGATTCGGGTCCGGGGAGACTTCCCACACGCTGGGACTGGCAGAATCCACCTACCGGTACCGGTACTCTGTCCACACTGTCGAGGAGAAAGCGCGGCGAGATCGCATTTCCTCCAATTCGCGCATTGCTGAAGGCAACGTCGGTGCCAAATCAAGGCGCGGTGCAATTTGGCCGTTGCCTTCATGCCTCCTGCTGTCCTCCCTTCCCACTACTCACGTGACCCCCCCACAGAAGTCAGGAGGACTCAAGGTGGCCACGCTGCCTGCCGCTCCTCGATTCGGTAGCGCCCCATGGGAGAACATCGGCAAAACCAGGATCCAATGACACCAGGCACTACCATCCTCTCTCCACCTGCCGAATGCCTGAACAAGCAACTACAATGCACGATCCCCGCAGACTCTTAACAGGCTTGTACCGCTACGATTGCAATTGGGGCTGACGCCGACACTGAGCCCTTGGATTTTCAACTACCGGCTTGCGACTATCCCGTCATTGACTCGATGCAAGCCAGCAATGGAAGAGATGCAAGGCTGTCCGGGAGGATTGGCTCGATCGTATATAAACTCGAGGCATTCCAGAGTCTCGGTGGCTCTCCCTACGAGCTCTCGGGGCATTCACCATGTCGCGCATTACCGCTGTTGCATCGGCACTCTTCCTGAGTTTAGCCAGCTGTCTACCTTATCAATCAGCTCCCACAGTCAATGTCAAGAACGGAACCTATTATGGTGTACACTCTGCAGCTTATGGCCAAGACTTCTTTCTAGGTATACCCTATGCTCAGCCCCCGGTTGGTCATTTACGGTTCCGCAACCCAGCGAGCCTAGAAAGCAGCTGGGAAGAGGCTAAAGCAGCAACACAGTACTCGCCAGAAGTCAGTACCCACTCTTCTTTGGCACATCTTCAGTGCTAACTCTTATAGTGCTACGGCTACGGTTCGGATCAGTGGAACTATGCAGTGTCTGATGACTGTCTTTACCTCAATATTATAAGGCCATCAGGCCATCAAGGCCAGAAACTTCCTGTAGGATTCTGGATCCATGGAGGTGGCTTCTACCAAGGCGGAGGTGTCGATCAAAGGTACAATGCGTCCTTTGCAGTTGAGAACTCGGTTAGAATTGGCAAGCCCATCATGATTGTCAGCATCAACTATCGATTGAGCGCCTGGGGCTTCCTGAGCGGAAGCCAAGAAGTGATAGATGACGGTGCACTCAACCTTGGTCTGAAAGACCAGCGATTGGCCTTGCAGTGGGTGCAGGAAAATATTGAAGCTTTTGGTGGTGAGTACTATCCAGCAGGCAAGAGAAACTCGGCTGATGATTCATAGGTGATCCCGAGCAGGTAACAATCTGGGGTGAAAGTGCTGGTGCCGCAGCCGTGGGCTTTCATCTGACAGCTTATGGTGGACGCGACGATAAGCTCTTCCGGGGTGCTATCATGCAGAGCGGTAACCCGATCAACTACGGAGCCTTGAGGGAACCACTAGGCCTAGCAAACATGTACAATGAGCTTGTCCGCCGCACAAACTGTGGCGTCAACTCTACCGGTTCATTGGAATGTCTGCGCCAATTACCTGCCGAACAACTAAACGCTGCCATCAATATTACGAATCTTCCTCTAAACGTCACAGGCTTCAACCCCGTTCTCGACTACGACTTCATTCAGAAGCGTACATCCATTCAACTGGAAGCCGGCGAATTTGTCCATGTTCCCATTGTGTCGGGCGCCAACTCAGATGAAGGCACCGCGTTCTCCCCGTCACCAGTAAACAGCACAGATGCCTTGTACACCTACATGACAAACTTTAGCCGCGGCGCAGTCGGTCCTGACCTCGCAAACAAACTACTCCAAGCCTACCCCGACGATCTATCCGTCAACGTTGTAGCCAGCTTAGGCGACATTCGAACCGGCGCTCCCTACGGTCCTCAATTCCGGCGCGCAGCCTCCTATTTCGGCGACCAAGTCTTCATCGCCAACCGCAGACTCACCTGCCAGACGTGGGCCAAAGCAGGCCTCGCAGCATACTGCTACCGCTTTAACGCGATCCCCGCTGGTCTCCCCGCCGCCATGGGTGTCACCCATTTCCAAGAAGTCTCCTTCGTTTTCCTCAACCTCGAGGGCGTGGGGTACCTTCCTGCAGCCGCACCCCCGTTCCAGAACAAGACGGAGAATTACCGCAACCTGGCCCGCTTCATGAGTAGTAATTGGGTCAGCTTCGTACATGATTTGGATCCTAATGCTTGGAGGGAAACGTATGCCTGGCAGGGTGCCGAGGGCATGTGGCCCAGCTATGATGTGGCCGACCCCATGGACTTTGTGTTTGATGCGAATGTGACGAGTTTTGCGGAGCCGGATACGTATAGGAAGGAGGGTATGGAGCTGATTAATGCGAATAATCTGGCTGTATTTCAACGCTGAAGGATCGTCGATGGAGTGTGCAGGGGGTGGTAGTGGGGATGATCAATGAATTTAACGACTACTTTTCAATATTGCAAGTCTTGTGCACATCGCATGGTTTTATGCTAGACATCTTCTCCAATCATCGTGAGTGCTGACATAGCCTCGGAAACAAAAGTTGCACCGCAATAGCACGCCTGCAATCACCTTTTGCACGTTGCACTCAATTAGAAGCTATTTCTTTCAATTTAGCTATACGTCCATACTCCAACCATCGGTGATCAAACGCGAGCCATGTCCGCATTGCGTTACTCAGCTAAATAAACTAATAATAGCCCCATCTCAAAGGCCATGCTACCAGGGATGGATATTCCATCGAGCGAATATAACGAAATATATGGTATAAAACTTGGAAAAAAAAATCATCACGCTGAATAAGAAATGTCCCCTGGCTCATATCTCCCCCCACCCCACGTAGTCCTTCCAAACTCACAGCTTCCCAAGATTCCGCGTAATCATAACAACAAGACCAGCAACAACCTTGATTGCAATCTTGAAGACCCAAACCACCGTCTTGAACGTAAACGTCAACATGCCGATAATCGTCCGTGTTATCATCGGCAACTTCTCCTTGTCTTCGTCTTGTCTCTCGGCCTTGTTCGCCTTTTTACTTTCCTTGACCTTGATCTGCGATTTATCCTGACCGTACCACTCCGCCAGTTCAATATCCTTGTCGAAACTCGTACTCTCGCTCCGGCTCGTCCTCGCACTACTCCTCATCGAGGCTGCGAATTTCTTCAGACTTTTACCGGACAGGGGCGCGGAGCTGGGTTTGGAGGATTTGCCGCCAAACCCATGGAAGCCTTGGACAAAGGAGTCTTTGAAGGCTTTGGTCGTGTCTTCCTTTTGGTTGGTCAGGGTGAAACTGGGGGGTGGAGGCTCAAAGTTCTCCTGGCTTTTGTTCTTGGTTTTGCGGCCGCGCGTGGCTTCTGCGACGGCGACGGCGAGGAGGGTGGACGCGACGACATCGACGAGGAAGGGGTTGCCAAAGCGGGTGAGGGCTGCTACGTTGAGGATCAGTGCGTCGTTGGCGAAGTCGAGTCGGGCGAGCATTGCGTCGTCGGCCGTGGCATCGGTGGTGGTGGGTAGTTGGCCAACCGACATTTCAGAAGGTGTCAATGAGATTGGGCGGTTCATGCCGTCTAGTCGTGGAGGCGGTGGCAGAGGAGAGAAAGCATTCGTTCGTGGTGTGGTGGGAGAAAGTATGTATGGGTTTAGAAGAGTGATGCATGCGGCCTTTTTTCCTGGCATGTATGGGGTCATGGGCGCGTTGTGACTGTACATTTCAGTCACGGGTCGTGTGGAGGGCGCATTAATGTTCGAGCAGTCGCCTTCGATTGAGATTGGGAATGAGCCGAGAGTAGGATGGTGCAGGTGGTATGAGCCTTCTGAGGGAAGATGCTGGGCCCATGGATTCGCCTGCTGTTGAGGATCATCCTTGGTCCATGCAAGCGCGCAACATTCACGTTGAGCGGTTCCTGCGAGAACATCTTCTGCAAGTCGCTGTGCAGCTGGTGATTGTGCGCCAGGGTCCGACAAAGCGATACGCGAAGCAGCAGGAGAGTTTGCGGCAGCGTCAAGCGCCTGTAGTGCCGCTAGTTTTGGATAGATGGTGGTCAACAGAGTGGTGGTTTCTTGTTGTTCTGGGTCGAAGAGATCGGTATCTAGAGAAGGGGGAGCAATGAGGTCGAGATGAGCAATAGGGAGGACTCTTGGTTGTGTGGGGTGGTGACGCTGTATCAATAGCTCGTTCAATATACTAGGAACCTCATGCCCGGCGGCGAGATTGGACTGGGCCAAAGAATAGAATGGGAGTGATGGCGTAGTACCAAAGGTGACTGTAGGGTTTGCTGCTGTCGCTCGATGCATTCTCAGAGTGTACATCTGTACAGTCGGTTCTTCTTGGCCATTTGTTGCCAGCCAGAGGTTGTCCAGCAGGCTCGACGGCGTAAAGAAAGGTCTTGGAGGTGGTGGAGGGGCGGAAGAGCTACTCGAGCGTACATTGCTATGGGGAATGTAAGAGTCTGGAGAGTAGGGTGATCTGCTGATTTGTGTTCGAGGAAGTTGTGTTGGAGATGCTTGAGTTGGCTTGTACGACTGACTGGCAAGGGGTACTGTAGGGTCGTAGACGGGAAACATGGATCTCATAGGTATCTCTTCTTCCCCTTCCTCTTCTTGTGGAGATAGGCTTTGTACTCTCGTTGCAGTACTGTTCGCACGAACTAGGGTGGGAGCAGAGGAGAAAGCAGGGGATATTGCTCTGCTGGGATCTGGACTCGCAGCGCGAGTTTGCTGAGCATCCTGCACTGGGGCTGCTGACGTGGGAGCTCGAGTGTCTTGGCCCCGGTAGAAGCTCTCTTGCCTTGTCACATGTGAAGAAGGCGTTCTCTTTTGCGAAGGGGAGTCGAATGTAGATCTACTTGCTGGAGGAGGAGTCCGCGTGTATGCCCGTGGAGGCGCTGATGGTGCCGGCATCTGGGCCGCAGGGGATACAGGAACCGAATTGACTTGTATGACAAGATTGTGAAAATTCTCTTCTGGTCCAGCTTCTGTGTGAACAGCAGTCGCGCTGTCCGACCTCTCGGGCAATGGATGCTTAGTATGTGGAGAATGTCTCTGGGATGGGCTTGTTTGGCGATGCCCACGAGGTGGGGGAAATAATTGAAAAGCCGGTGCTGTCATAGTTATAATCCAATAACTATTTTCTGCTATTTTGCTTCAAAAAAGGAACATCCAGATGTTCACTGAAGCCAGTAAGAAACAGATCAACTGTGTAGAAACATGCGAAGACTCAGGTCAGTAGCACCAGTTGTAGGTGCATATTAGAGTTGCCCAGGTAATCTCGGGGTAAAAGACTATATGGTCACACCGTCAGAGCGGAAGAGGGTTTCTCGACTCACTCCACACCGAGCCCAATAGCGGCTCCTTGGGGTGAATGGCTGATTGGGTCCATTATGGCCACCACAAGCCTACAAGGAGTGATATCTGCAAGGCCTGACTGCTGAGCGGCGGTTATTTTTAACATGGTTGGTTGTCTCTCGCTCTAAGCGCCAACAATCAACCTTCGCTACGACCCCTGCCACGTTCTTTGAAATCTTACGATGCATGCACGCCCACGCTGATTTGTTGACGCCGTGTGCTTGTCCTGCGCACGGCAAGCCAATGTACAATCTAGGTGACTTGGCCAGCGGGCCGACGCTGCTATCTCATCGATCTATTTCGAGGCTGCAGGGAAAGTCTCTGGCCAATTCTGTGCCAAATGCGGGTTGTGTTTGAATATCGGGAATTGCTTTGGGCCTGTGGTTGGCATCCATGCATGCCCTTGGGAAGAGAGACATGTGTGGCATTCGAGGAATGTGTTATATTCTGATATCGCTATGCCCATACTTGTCTTGGTAGCTTTGCTGACTTCTCATCCCGATGGTGCCTGTGATGTGGCTTGAAGCTATGAGTGCCTCTGGCGGTTACAAGAGCCATGCATGTGCCATGGGGGACGGGGGTGGGGTGGGAGAAGTGACAAGCTCGAGAGCGTAGCCGCCCCTATTCCCAGCTGGGACAAGATCCCTAAGGCAACAACAACGATTGCGCGAGCAAACTCTTGTGCCATTCGGAGTCTGTGGTAGTGATTCGCTGCCATACTCTGAGCACGTGGAACCAGGTCACTCTGTTCTTGCTTGATCCCGCTGTCGCAAAGCTTAGATGGAAGAAGAAGGGTATGTGGCAGCGTGTGCTTGTGTCAAATGCGATGGGATTGCTTTCGAAGGCCGCCTTCACCTAAGCCCGATCATCTCAGGACAACGTCGCCATGACAGGCAGATGATGGAGGACCAGGGGAAAGAAAGCAAACATGATGTGACAAAATTCTCATAGAACAGTTTTGTATGTGACAGCAGACCAAGCAATTCACAACAATTTACTTGGCGAGCTACCATGTTAGGTACGATACTGCGCGGGCTTATCGATAACAGGCTGGCTCAGAAAAGTTCTGGTCGTAACTCGTCATTGTGCAAAAAAAAAAAATGTAGCGCAACAACCACCATGCCGACAGAACTAGAAGAGGTGAGTATCTTTACAGAGTATCTGGGAGAGTTCATGGCTGATTACGAATACTACATAGCTTGTCGAGTTTTTACACCATGGCAACACGCAGATCCGTCAGGCTGGTCAGAACAGCCCCTCCACTCCATCACGAGACATCATGGCTCACGAATGAATAGCTGCCGAACACCTGGTCGGATATACGCAAACAGACCTGCCACTTTTCAAGCGCAATCAACTAGAACCTGTCAAGGATCTCAAATTGCTGGTCAAGGACTATGCACCGATTGCCAAGAATGCTTTCACCATGCTCATAAACATCTCCTCAGACAAGGAGGTTTTCCAAGCACTTGCCCAAGACGATGCATTCCTCGAGGTTTTATTGTCGCGCATCACCGTATGTCAGTTCCCCAGGCCGTGTCATATCCCAGGTGTTAGGACTAATGCGAGACTCAGAGCCCCAAAGAGCCTAATGCGAATGAAATCGCCATGCTTCTCGCCAATATGGCCAAGGACGACTCGCTGCAGCGTGTACTCGAGCTCAAACGCGATATACCCAAGGAGCTGTCCAAATCAGCGTGGGCAATGGACCAGCTCATGGACTGCTTCGTGAAGGGCGCAGAGGGCGCTTACAACAAGCACGCCGACTTCGACTACCTGTCATACTTTTTCGCCGACTTGGCCAAGTTTCCCAAGGGTCGCGAGTACCTGACGACGCCATCGGAGCATGACTCCAACATAATACCCATCACGAAGATCCAAGTCTTCACAGACCATGCATCGCACATAAGACGTCTGGGTGTGGCATCTGCTATCAAGAACGTCGCCTTTCACGTCCCAGCACACCCGGTCCTGATGTCGAACTTGAACCCAGACCCAAACCTAACACCTCCATCGATAGGAGCTAACCTCCTTCCGTACATACTACTACCGCTCATGGGCCCAGAAGAGTACCCGGACGAGGACACAGAAGGCATGCTCGACGAGTTACAACTACTCGAACCAGATAAGGAGCGGGAATCCGATGTTGAGATTGTAAAAACACATCTGGAGACATTGCTGCTCTTGTGCACGACAAGAGAGGGTAGGGATGTGTTGCGTAAGATTAAGGTCTATCCCATTGTCAGGGAGTGTCATTTGCATGCCGAGGATGAAGGTGTCCAAGAGGCGTGTGATCGGGTAGTCCAGATCATCATGCGGAAAGAGGAAGGTGAAGAGGAAGATATCCCAGATATGAGCTCTGCGGGTGGTGGTAAACTGATGGAGCTTGAGAATGATGAAGACGATGAAGAGGAGAAGATTGTTGAAATCCTATAGATAGTCTGACCCATCAAAAACGCCTTCCTATGCAACTATGCAGATGGAAAATCCTTCATATGACTGGCTCGCTCCTATCCTACTTTCTCAGCCGTGATGCCATCTTCATGGCTCCTTCTTACACATGTTGCAGTCCTACTATTCTTTTCGCTCACACAACGGTGTACTTTGCTTTCCACCAGGGGCTCCGCCGCGACTTCCTCCAACGTTTTTTCCTTCTTTCCGAGCCCTCCCTCCACATCCACCGTCTCTTTCTGCCCATGCATTGCCGTTTCAGACGTCTTCCCGTCTGCACTATTCTTGTCCTTCTTTCTCATGCTCCATCCTCCTCTCCAGCCCACCCATCTGTCCTCCCACGGTCCCCTCGCAATCATGACTAAGATGGCTGCAGAAATGAAGCCTACACTCGCACTACCTGACCCGATCCAGCCTGCCACGGCATAAATGTGGTTTCCAGCCGCTGTTCCAATTAGCTGTCCGCAAAACGTAGCTACCATGAACGCCGTATTCACCCCATTTCGTCTCTTGGGTTCCACAGCATAGATAGAACTTCGATTTGCAATCTGAGCAGTCTGGTTGCCAAAGTCCATGAGCAATGCCTGCAGCACGGGGCCAGATACGCTGAAAGGTCCAATATATGTACCCAGGCAGACACCAAGCAGCGAGCAGCTCAACCCGAACAGGACGGAGAAGTGTGGAACGAAACGATCTGTCACTGTACGAGCATATATGGGGCTACAAAGCATTCCTGACCCTGATCAGCATGGCTGCTTCTCAGCTAGGATGATTTGAAATACCTGCGATGCCAATAAGGCCGAATAACCCGATGATCAAAGGCGAATATTGATAGGGTTCACCAGCCAACAAGAACGTCAAGGTCGTCCAGAAACTTGTGAATGGCGCGGAACAAAACATTCCAGCTAAGCAAACTTGAACTAGTACAGGATGCTTGAAAAGCATCTTGACAATATCCCAGAGGATGCGAAAATAGTTCATACCAGGATTAGTAGCGGGATAGTCGGGCATAAAGAGCCATAATAGGATGAAGATCGAATACTGCAGACCAAGTGCCATCCAGTACACAGCTCGCCAGGTCACAAAGTTGGCCATGGTACCAGAGAGAACTCTGGCCACGAGAACACCGAGCATGAGACCAGACACTACAACTGATAACGCGGCAGCTCTGCGATTAGGGGGAGCAAGATCTCCCACCAAAGGGAGCATCAACTGCGGAGTTACAGTAGTGACTGCCACAATGAATGATATAGCTGTGAAAGTCCCCAGATCGCTCGTCAAACATAATACAAGCCTACCGCCAAAACCAATTAGCCATTCAAACCAGAAGCAAAGTAACAAGCAACCGAAAAATCACACACATACCACATGGTCGCCGTGAAAAGCACCAGCCCGCACACAAAAGGTCGTCTAGGTAGCAAGTCCCCTAACGGACATAAAAACAACAAGCCGGCTGCATATCCCGCCTGCATGACCGTTGGAATCTGTGCAACCTGCTCATACCGCACGCCAAAGTCATGAGCGAGGATATTCAGTATCGGATGGTTGTAATACAGGTTCGCGACCGTAAAGCCCGCTGCAAAAGCAAACAGGACATTCATGGACATGGAGAATTGCGGCGGGTGGGAAGGATCCCATCGGCAGTTTGGCGGTGTCCATGTCAATGTCGTGTAGATTTTCTGCCATGTTCCTAACGATGGTTGGCCTTGCTGTGTCGGCGAACTTGTCGACGCACTTGTCGGTGTTGTTGCGGTCACGGTCGAGGTCGTACGTTCTGAGGCGGCGCCTGGATGTGGTGCTTTGCGGGCCATTGTACCATTAATTCTAGTTCATGGAGGCACATACCTGTCCCTCGCTCTTTTTTGGCCTGGAACCTGTTCCCTGAAGAAATGAACAAGGAAACATTGATGGACAAGAGTAATTGCATAGGCGCGATGGGGCACCCTCGACATCGCCATGGAGGGCTTAGAGGTTCCGTCATCGATTGTTCGTGGATTCCGCACGGGATTCGGCAATTGATGAGGAGCCGATTGATAGTGTTAATGCCGCTTAAGTCCATTTGCTGTGATGCCCGATAAGGACGCTGGAATCCTCTGAACAGAAGATATTCTCGGGCTGCCTTTATTCGCCGCCATTCTTTCAAGTTCGTCGCCCAACCATCCTCTTACTGCTGCTTAGGGATTCGGGCAAAGACAAGGACAGGTCCATGACATGACAAGATAGTCTTCTTCGCAACCCAGCTTGTAACGTTTACAATTTGCGATGGATTCACAAAAAAAATCATCAGAGGCAAAAGGTTCCTGTGTTTATACCACAAGCTGTTATGTCGCATTGGTGGTGCATATAAAGACGCGAGACACATCGAGTTCTGATAAGATTTACCATGAGCAAAACACCGCGAGCCCACTGCCTTCGAAAGCGTTTAAACTCGGAGATTCGTGAGACTTGGAAATAGACGTATGAAACTGATTGACGGCATGAGTGCCCCTTTTGAACCTGTATGATCGGTCAGGCCAGCGTAGGCGCGAGCCGAGGCAACCAAACATTCATCGGTCGAGACTCAGGGTCCTGTACGTATGCCTGTGACGGGATCCTGAGGCCCGTCTTAAGCAATGAAAATCTTGCTTCATGCTTGCATTCGGCTATGATTCTTGTTATTTCTATATCAGCCATAGTGCTTACCCTGTATCAGCCATGGTGACTGCCTACCACCATTGGCGACTCCCCTATCCCGGGTTGTCTGGGAGACACCCATTTGGGACTAGTGGGGATATCCATATCTAGCCACCTTGGCTTCTCGTCTATAGATTCTTCAATCAATACTTTCATCACATCAATTCTCAACGCCCTTCCCGAGGTTACCACACCTACTGTAGCACAAGCCTCGCTTCTGAAGATACGTACTGGAATTCACAAGGCAACATTCGACTTATATAGTAACATGGTACTCATGTCTGCCAACAAGGTTTCTCAGTGAGGTCCGAATTTAGAGTGTTTGCCAAGAGAGTGGAAATGAGACAATCTGGGCAGATCCTTGGAAAGGGTTGAAGGTTTGCGTGATCTTACATACATGCTTACTGTATTCCCCTCCCGCACGGAGTCTGACTCTTTCAAAGTTGTCGGAGAATATCATCACGCGGGAGCAGTCGAAGGGTTGGAGAGTGTCTTTGGGTAAGGCATAGCATCGACATGCGCACTTTTATTTTGCCATGATATGGTACGATAAAATCCATGATTTTAGCACATCAAGAGACTGGTAGCCTCAAGTCAGATGAGCCTAAACCTATTATGGTAGACCACGAATTCAACCTTGTGCACGCTAGCACAACGCCTTGTCACTTTGTGGACACACCATGGCCCAATGCAACCGCCATGAGAAACAGGCCTAAGCCAACATGACAAGCAGCGCACGACAGCCATCATGTTCGCGTGAGAGCCACGAGTCGCATGTCGACTGTCACTTTGACACCCGCCAGCAGTTTGTCAGGCTGTAAGTAGATGGACTGTGAAACTCCCACCCTAAAACCCCGAACGCCACGGCCTTCACGACTCAGCATCCCATCAACTGGTCTTTGACGATAATCGAAGCGTTGCAAAGTCTGCGTCTCGCGTAGGGCGAGACTTTGGGCATTCGATACCGCCACGCAGTCTGGACGTCTTTTTCGCGTTAGCCTCAGCCTTAGCACCCCTGAGCAGCCCGTGCCGTTACCGACCAGAGTGCTGTTCTGGGCAGTCCACGATGTTTCCTCAGACGGCAACCTAGATCCAGCCTGAACGTGTCGGCAAATGCCCAGCGTTGTGGCGTGTGCTGCACTGTGGAAGATTGTAGCCGCGTGGGAAAGGTAAGCCACCAGCTGAGGAATAGCGCAGTAAGCGGCAGAAAGCAGGTATCTAGGCCTGAGATAAGCCGAAAAAGGCACGCGAGCATTGTCTGCTTACCTACCTAGAGCAGATCACGGTGTCTTGGTAGAGTATAAGGGGCCGCTCGCGCTGTCTTGGGTAGTGGCCTGGCTTAGTGTTCAAACTTCATTCTTCTCCTGCCTAAAGTTACTTGAACATATACACTCGCTTTTGTATGTTCAGTACACATCACGAATCCTTCCCATATATCTAGTTATACGTCGCTCATTGTCTTCATCGGCGGGCCCCTCGCTACATCTGTGCTACTGCCTTTTGTCCAATACATTTACCTTACTTTAATCATCATACATCGATCATAATGTCCACTTCTATGGGTGCTCTGCCCACCATGGTCGTTGCTGCCATTGCAGTTGGCGGCATCTTCGGTCTCTGTGGTCTCGTCGTCGTCATCGCCGTCCTCTTGGATTGGCCCAACCGAAAGCAGCGAAGACAGAACAAGGGAATAATGGAAGAGCTCAGAGAGGAGCGACAAGCAGGCAATGTGGATGTGGAAAAAGGCAAAGCGGACGTCACTGAGGCAGAAGTCTCATCCACCAAACCGCCAACATATTACTCGAGCGTGCGAACAACAGGAACGACATCATTGCAAGGTCACTACGAACATCCCGTCGTCGCCAACAATCCTCCGCGTATATAAGAGATCGTCACATTCGGCCATCGAGTCGAGTAAATTCACGACAGTGGCTTCAAAGAACATTTTAATGTTCACATACGCAATCTAACAAAACGACTACACCCGTCCACTTCCACATACCGTCATCAATGGACCCAGGACTAACAGTAGCTCCTGAGAATACCACAGGTACACGCGACATCACCCCGGTCCACCCGACACCAACGACCACTATATTCGTAATGCAAATCGGCACACGCATCTCGAGGCAACGTGACAGTGATACCTCGCTCCTACGAACGCCCTGGTCCAACCCTCACTGGTCTGTGGATTCAGGGAGAGGGCGGCCCAACCCATCTCGGATCCAACATTCACGTGAGAAATCCTTCGTATCGCAAGGCGACGCAGAGCTGAATGAATCATCTCCAGTTGGTGGCTCAATCAGAGAAGAACCTCATGAGGGCTCGGGTCATGGCACATGACTCCTGTCAGTGTCAATTCTTGCTGTTGCATACGACCACCAGAAATTATGGTCTTGTCATCTAATAGAACAACCCTAATCATCGTATCCCAGATGCTCCGATGTGAAAACAGCAAAAATACGGTCTAAATCCCCTCTTCCTTTAAGCTTAACCCAGATTTTCTCTACTTAACCCTCCGCATATCGTCTCTCATCATCATCCTAAACCCACGTGTGCAAAAGACATATTCACAGCGCCGTCGGCCAAAGTACCTAACAAATCATTCCGATATACCATCATTCAACTAGATCCGTCATGCCACTTTGTAGTATCTCAAAGGCCCAAGTACACTCATTTCCTGTATGCATAATGCCAAAATCCGCATTGCGAGGTTTGTACATTGGAGTAAGATTGCAAGTGATCTGAGACTTGATACATTGCTTAGCTACCACCATGTCGAAGCAACCTCAATACTAAAGAAGACTAAGTGTTTGTAGCGATAAAAACTTGGATTAGACTCAGCGATCATGGCTTTTCTTTGCGTCTGACCCAGCTCATTTGACATCACTAAATGGCTCGCTTTACCTATTCCTCACAGCGAGCGAAAGAATTTTCTTCAAGCTGCAAAGAATGAAATGCTCATGTAGGTCGAGCTCTCATGCTTGTCTGTCATTCATGCTACTTCATTCACTCTCTCCGCCAAGTTGACTGGATTCACAAAAGTAGAAACTCATCTGCATTAACATCATCTACGACCTATTCAAAACGATCCTTGAGATTCCACAAGGGGGATTCCCCCACAGAAGCGCACACTATAGCGCTAGCTCGGAACAAAGTTTCTATCGTATACAATTGTGATTGTTCGACTTCAATACAAGAAGACCACAAGAATATGTACTTGTTTGTTGAATGCGGAAACACGCAAAAAAACTCCAACCCTTTCAATCCTTTCGTGCTCCAAGGCCAAAATTAGTCGTGGGTAGTTTCCCTGAACAGCATTCGTAAGCAATGAAGACTGTGCAACGACAAAGCCCAAGCCTGAACCCGGCTTCTATCATTTTTTAAGCCGCGTACCTGCTATATCTTCTTGGGCATCTCTTAAGAGGAAACTGCTTACGTGTTAGTCGACAATGTCCGAAAAACTCGAATTTGTAAGTGGGTGGGGGAAGTTGGATGAACTCACTTGTACCACAGCACCGTGGGTACCACGGTACCCAAGTGCCACAGACTATGCGCATCCAGGACACCCATCCACGGTGGAAAGTCGAGCAACTCCAAGCTCATGGCCATGATGACCCATGCCACGCAAATTCCGGGCCATACTGCCCAGGTTCGCCCAATTTTCTTGTATTGGGTATAGCTGAAGCCGCTCCAGAGAAGATTCGCTATGATGCCCACGACCACATTGGCTGCCATGTTGTATGTGTAATCCCATGACCAGAGTGAGAGGTAGAGAACATGCAGAGTATACAACACGATGCACAACCCCGTCCATGTCCGCAGTAGAGACTGCTTCCTCGGCTCCTTTCTGTCCAGCCTGAAGACACGAATCGGTGCATAGTAGAGTCCGTACAACACATTCGCCCCTGCCGCAAAATAGTCCAGTTTCTCCGTGATGTTGAAATCTCGCGCGTGGAAGATCGTACTGAAGGTCCAGCTTGCCAGCCCCACGTAACCAAACCATATGTAGTATTTGCGCAGCGGATAGGAAGCCGGTATCTTGTCGCGCAGCTGGCGCATTCCCCAGTCGTGAGCGAGGTAGTTGAACAGCGAGAATATGACGCTAAAGGGCTCCTGGATGCCCATGAAGCGGTAGAAGGGCCACTTGCCATGGAATTGGTATACCGGCTGCATGTAGGGCGGATCACGGGCGAGGCGTTTGTCAGTCACGACGTGTTGGCAGGTGTAATCGCATTCTGCAGGACAGTCCCAAAACAGGAGGCGGCGGTGAAGAGCTGGGCTGAGGTTAGTTGAGGCAGTGTATAGATCTGGAGATATGGCGTACGGATTGGAGTTGGGTTTTTGCCGCAATTGGCCTCTTTGCAGACCTGGAAAGGGGATCAGTCGGGGCTCGTCGGTTCTGTCTAGTAGGTTCTGGTACACGTACCTGTACACAGTCCTTGAAATCTGGCAATCTGTCACCGAGCGACGCATGGCTTATACCACCCAGCAAAAATATCACAGCAAGGGTCTGCCATGCTTGCGTTGTTCGTGTCTTCATGGTCTCTTGTTTAGACGCAAAGAGGTGCCCTGTGTTTGTGTACGAACGTCAGACCCGTCGCGTGTTGCGGCCAATCGGCACATCTTGGCAACCAATGATTGTCCTCTGTTGCACGTGGGCCGGGGCTATCTTGAGCCCACCATTCACATGTAGACTACCAATCGTGGATTTAACCTCTTCTGTGGAAGAAGGCGATAGGGCAAAAAAAAGGATAAGAATGGAGAAGCAGGTGATCGAAACCTGGGCCTCCCGCAATACAGATGCTTGCAAAGCGGGCGCTCTACCACTGAGCCACATCCCCTAATGACATATTAATTGATGATGGTGGAATTTTGAGCACAAACAAATATAATCATACACTTCAGGGGTGTACACTGCAACCGCAACACGTTGGGTCGCTAAAGACAGGCGGTATTAAATTAGCGGCATCGGTAAACGTGTTGCAAACATCCTTAGGGCATTAAATAGAACGAGCGGCTAGATTGCTTCTGTGGGGAGCTTCTATATTACTCTAAATCTTTGTAGGTGTAACAAGTGCAAGCACTCGTTCCAGTTCTCATTAGACTAGCTAAGATATTATCAGCCCTAATACAGCTCTAACTCTAGTCCAAGACCCCTCTGCCTCTAGATATAAAAGGAGCCTTATGCTTATAGATAGACAGACAAGTTCTTCTTGTCCTTTTGTACAAGACCTATAGGTGTAGGAATCATATCCTTTTCTATACAGACGCGCACTCCTATATGCCTTTGAGTCGTATCGGATACCCTTTGGATGCCCCTACCTACCTGTGTCGTTACAGTAGGGTGCCTTAAACATTAGGTGTACGCTTCTAATTAGTAGATAGAGTAACTCTATAATTAATTAAATAGGGGACTTACAAGTTTTACGCAAGCTTCTAAGTTAGGTAGTAAGGGGTGTATAACAAATAGCAGAATAAATAGCAGTCTTTTTATAATGCACGTGGCAGGCATATTAAGATATATATATATATAGAGCATTAGTTTTTGTAACAACACAGGTACAGGGGACGTCTAAAAGGGGTCCGATATGACTTAAGGGCATATGGGAGTGCGCGTCTGTATGGAGATTAAACGAATTGATCCTGATACCTACAGGTCTAGTACAAAAGGACAAGAAGAACTTGCTAATCTATCTATAAGCGTAAGGCTCCTTTTATATGGTGGAGGCAGAGGGGTAGGCTAGGAAACTCGGACCCGAATCGGCGCCGTATCGGCTGTGAGGCTGTCTTTGGATGCTCTGGTCTGAGATAGAACGAGGGTTGCACTCGTTACAGTTTTAAGGTACAAGAGGCGAATTTGTAGGTACTTCTATGTTATTAGCGGACAATCTAGTTATATTACTATAAGAGAGCAATAGTTCACATAATATCCTACTACGAGTTATGCAACATTCGGCCATGAGTACTATGTGCAGCGGCACAAACCTCCTCCTCCTTTAGCTTAGTCCACTTAAATTCTTAATTGATATCTTAACCTATCCGCACGTTAATTAGAACCTCTACACTACCTCAATCAATGAATGCAATTTGCCTCCATCACTGGCCCCCTGTTCAAATAATCCCGTTCTACGAAGTACCACAACTGGTCTTCTGTTAGCCCTGTGCCTAAACTTCGGATTTATGTGGGGGTTGGTAGTAACTTTGGTTGATATCGAGACTTGTTGCTGGGTTATTGCCTGGTGGTAAGGCTATTCGTTAGTCGATATCAAGACTTATAGGTTTAGTCGGCGTTTGTTAAAAGACATCTGCTTGTCTATTAGCTAATATCGGGACTCCGAGTCCAAACCCTGTTGACTTGGTAGTAAGTAATATTGGTTCAAAAAGCTAAAAAGACTCGCTTCTGACTTCCTGACGACTACTATACCTACCACGGCAATATACTAGTAGAATACCTCTAGTTGAATTACTACTATAAGCCTGAAGATGGCGTTTTCCCTGTCAAGCTCTGGGCTTCCTATGTTGCGATTGGGGCCGCTAGGAATGAGCAAACGAGGAGCAGGAGAGGAGCACAGGTGGTATAATTCTCTTTTAAGCAACTATAAACCATAAGTACCATGTGCTACGGCAAAACATGCAGTATCCAACGATGAGGAGGGTCCAAAAGTAGTGTGTAATGTGATTATATTCTCCTAGTCTATGAGGTTGGGAGCTATCTATGGGCAAGCATCCCAAGGGGCTAAGATATCTATGACCACAGCAAAACACGAATCTAAGCATCTTTTAGCTGCTTTATCCTCCTTCTTCCACCATAAATCATAGTAGACCTTCTTCCTCCTACTAGAAGAACTACCTGTCCTTTACAAGACAGTCTACGGCGAGCACTATTTATAGATTAAGTAATAGATAATAGGTTTAAGGAAGAGGAAAGGTCTTACGCATCGGATTAACTGAACAAAAGTAATTAGCTTTTTTTTTATTTCTTCAAGCTTGGCAGATAGGAACTTACACCTCCAGTACAAGTAGGTAAAGGGTCATTTCTAGAAAACCCATGTTCTTTTCCGTTTTCGCCAGTAGGGTTGTAACATTGTCCTCGCCAGACAAATGTATGTTTTTGATCGTACTCCCAACTAGTCTATGCTAGGAGTCAGAACTCTAGAAAATGTTATAGTTGTTGGATTAACATACACAATAAGAATAGTGATTGCCCTAGCTAAATTAGTACTTGATAGGCATTGTTAGGGATCAACAAGTACCTGACATTTATATGTTTTATCGGATTTTGGAAAGGGTGCTTGATCGCCACTAGTCCACATTGGAGAAGCTGCAAGAGCCGTAGAAAAGTAAGCAGCAATAAGAAGGAGGTTCATCATTGTCCCTTGTAGGTATTGAGAATATAGTAGTTGTTTGAACAAGTAGTGGAGTGGGAGTTGCAGAAAATTCAAGTTTTTGCTTAACGATTTTAATAGGAAAAATAACACCTTTATAGATATCGTCCTAAGAATTTTTGAGGGATTAAAAAGACACACGGCAGGTTTACTGGTGTTTGTAACAAGGCTAGGCTAAAGATAGCTAGCGCTTACTAGATGCCTAGGCTAGACTTGAACAAGGTTCATGGGTTGGCGCTAGGGTCTAGCACTATTATCTTAGGCTAAGCTTAGCTAAGATATATATATTATACTATGCGAGGATTACTTAGTTAAGTATTCTCGTGCGTACCTTTTGGACCATGGCCGAATTGGTACAGACAGGGGAGATGACGTAGTATTCATTTCATAGGCAGGGCGCCTACCTTGTTACAGTAAATGGGTATAGGTTGGGTTGGGGTTAGGTTAGCTTATGTCAGACCCTGAACCCAACCCAAACCTAATCACAAATTCTCGCACGGGCCATGGGCTTGGGTTAGGTTTAGGTCGCACAGGCTATAGGCTTGGGGTAGGACAAGTGTTATTCGTCTGGGTCGCAATAAGAAAAGTGTCCTGGTCATAAGCCTTACCTTACCCGAATTGGTTAACATCCTGCAGCTAGTAAATTAGTACTGCAGGGGATGCCGCTAGATAGCCCGCGACTAGTTTTAATAGTATTAGTGTATAGTATTAGCAGTATTACTATAGTAAAGGAAAAGGATTAACTTGCTATAACTTAGTATATTAGTACTACTACTAGTATAGGGTTCTATAATAACCTTATATAAAGCCTTAGAGGATACCTAAGAGTTATATAAGTTAGTTAGTAATATAGATTAAGTAAGTAATATTTCTATAAGATAAAAAGTATAATAATTAGGTATATTTGAATAGATTTTAGTTAATATAGGATATTAGGTTATAGCTATTACCTAGTTACTGTAGTAAAAAACTCTATAATACTACGTAACTAGGTATAGATACCTAAATATCTACTAATACTATACACTA